ACCTTTTTTTTTCTCCCCCCCCCCCCCGAAAAAAAAAACTGAGATTGCTTCCTACGGGCCTGATATAATAAGCTAAATTCTGTTTTTAAAAAAGGAAAGAAAATCAAAAAATGATGACATGTCACTCGATGAGCATGAAATATATTTTCCTCCCAAAATTAAGAGATATTAAGCCTCTTCGATTCGAAACGTTGAAAGAAGTCAGCAGTCGTTTACAATTACCTATCATTTGGCAGCCTTAAACGCTTTGCTGTATTCACGTCTACTTGTGTTTCCGCATCTTCCTTGATTTTCCGGAACGACTTTACCGGTCCCCAGAAAAACGCGCTAAAATATAGTGTCTCCGTAGGCGACTTCAGTATATATGAGATCGAGTGAGCGATCGAAAAAAATTAAAAGTATGAGGTTTTTAGCCTTTTTGACCCCAAAATCGAATTCTACGGTTAAAAGTTTAGTTTAAAACTTCGTTCTTTAAACGAAGTTTTTAACCAAGTTTTCTGAAAAAAAGTGGTTAATATTGTTTATTCAGTGAAAAGGAGACGAAAAATAATTGTCAACGAAGCGCGTGCGGCGCATGCTTAGTGCCGTTTCTTTCGTACTTAGCCATTTTTTCATGTAAACAAACCAAAGAGATTCGTGAAAGCTGAATTTAGATCTTGCAAAAAATACAGATATGCAACTGAATTTCTTAATTTATCTAAAAAAAAAACAACAAACAAAACAAACAAGAAACTAACCCTAATCCCTCGGATGGTATGCGAGGACTAACCCAAATCTCCCGGGCGGATGCTAGACTATCCCATTTGCGAGGACTAACCCTAATCTCTGGGATGGATGCGAGACTAACCCTAATCAGTTGAAAACTTGTGCAAGGACTAACCCTAATCTCTCAGGTGGGTGCAAGACTAACCCTAACCAGTCAAAACATGTGCAAGACTAACCCTTATCAGTTGAGTGACGTAAATCTTACGTCATAGTGCAATGAGCGCGCGGATCTTGCGGATCTGGGGACCGGTAAAGTAAAGTCTACCCGATTTTCCTTGATTTGGGTGGCATTACAACCCGATGGCAGCGGATATTTGTTTCTCAGCTACGTTAAAGGAAGGCCTGAGTTCACATTAGTGATGCACCGTATGAGAAGTTTTATTGTGACGTCATTAAAAATTTAATAAGCGACAAAAATCTATTTAACCACATACTGATGCGTAAATAACAACTTGCATTCATTTATCTTATCAATTATTTATAAAAGCTTGTAAAATCACAACATCTGATAACAATACTGCCGAGTTATTAGAAGCAAATCTTGTGTCATATATGACGTCACTAGCCTTGACTTGACGAAGTACAAGTGATCCAGAGGAGTGGATCCATTGGTTTAATAATTACAAAAATGCTTAAATAAATATAAAACATTCGCCAATGTTTAAATCTAATTAATAAAATTAAAAGGAAATAATTTATTTAAAACAATAATGTAGACTATTAATTTATGTAGGTGCTATGGAGCTCTACATAGACAGAGAATGTAAAGAATATCCCTAACACGATACGTGTAACAGTATGCCTGATTAACCTCAAAAGTGCAAGGGCATAGACTAAGACTGTTTGAGCTGAAATATGGAATATCAATTGCTTATATTATGTATATTTTGAAAAGTGCTGGGAGCTGATTCTGGTCGGCATAACATTATTTTTATCCATGACAGAATTTAAGCGAAGTGGAAATTTTGATCTATTATACATATTTTCGGCATAATTACGAGTCTTTCCGAAACAGCTCAAAGTAGCTCCCAGCACTTTTCGGGAAGCCGATGTTTACAAATCTTTTTTAATATGTATCAATATTTTTCTCCAAAAACATGCGTATGCCCTTGCACTAGCCTCATTTTCTACATTCTGCTCAACAATTCTATTTTTATACCAGTCACGTGACACACAGCTGATACATGCGATGTAACTGGTACTGAGTAAGCCACAAACCTATCCATTATGGATATCTATATTACCTTTCCTAAATGTTTACAGTTACTTTGTTACAAAGATTTTTAAAAATAATACCTATTAAGAATGTACCAAGATCGCATTTTCCATTTCCTTTCTTAACATAGCTGAGTTGTTTGTTTGTTGTTTAGCGTCCCTCTCGAGAATTTTTCACTCATATTGAGACGCAACCACTTGCCAGTGGAGGGCTGCAAATTTATACCTATGCTCGGCACTCAAGGCCATTGAGCAGTGAGGGACCTTTTTCGTGTCAACACCGGTCTCATCTGAAGGGCCGGTCTCCACGTCACGCAGTGGATTCGAACCCGCGCGGATTTTTGTGACAAAAAGTACAGTTTGGGCTTTATTGTGCCCTAAAAATTTAATGTTTTCAAAAAGTAATGGAATTGGCTTAAATATGAGTTGAGTATATGAATGTGAAAAATCATGAAAGAATACGGCATGAAGGAGGACCATTCTGGAAATATATATGACGTCATTAATTTGGTACATTTCTAAGTTTTTAACAGAAAAAGCCTCAAAACGACTCATTTCTGGGGTTATTTTCCTTAAGAAAATATTCTCCACAGTTGTCGCCCACTACAATTTTTGGATATGTTGTGTAAAATCCTTTGAAAAATCATATTTCTGAAAATCTTTGTGGGCGATGCATGTGCTCTATATTATCTGAGAGAAAAATTCATTGAAAATTGATGTCTTCTGCAACTTTTAAAGAAAATACGGGAAAATGCACAAGTTTATGACGTCACAATTAGCCTTTAGGAAGTCATATTATGAGAAAAATGATTTTTATATTCTTACTGCATGGAATTTCAACAACTCAGAAAGCATGAGTTTTAATTTCTTACATCACTTTCATATTGAAAAATACTGAGCAAGATTTGTATTGAAACTGTACCTTGTTCTTTCCAAAATGTCTGCCCTTCTAACCCTTCTGCTATTGTCTATGAAAATCGGTTTCATTAGGTTCTTGATTATATTGCATAATCTATGTAAAATTTACAGTCTCAAGAATATTTTACTAGTACCAAGAACGCACGATTAATCGCCCTTGCACTGGTATTAAAATCATTTATCACAATATGGTGATAAATGTAATTACTTATATGCATTATTCACATGAAAGTTCCTCTACGTTGGAATTACATGTACCAACTTTATTGTTGAAAAGGTCAACTTTAAAGTTGGAATTTCCAACTTTAAAGTTGGAATTTCCAACTTCGAAGTTGGAAAAGCCAAGATTAAAGTTGGAAAATCAAACTTTAAAGTTGGATTAATAATTTCTCTCAGAAGAAGATAAGTGAATAGAAACCTGCCCAGTATGAGATCACTTGAACAAATGGTCCATAATTTTACATGTGGTAAAAGATACCCTTGCTTATTACAACTTTGTACTCAGTTTGCCTCCTAGATGCGCAGGAGCAGAGCAGAAGATTTTCAAAGAGTTAATGCATTTTCACAATATATTAAATAGACCCTCCCAACACAAAACTCCCTGACCCAGGGGCCATGAATTTCATAACTTTGGAAGAGGGATCCTTTCTCATCATAACACAAGTTTGTCAGTTCAATACCAAAGGGCAAAGAAGAAGATATTTAAAGAATTTAATATGCATTTTCTCAATCTGGACCATATAAAGAGCCCCACCTTGACACAGAAACCCCTGACCCAGGGGCATGAAATTAATAATTTTTAATGGCAAACTTGCTAATCATAACAATGCATTTCTTGCTACATTTGTAAATACACAGGAGCAGAGCAGGGATTTTTATAGAATTAAATAAATGCATTTCACTATATAATCAATAGAGCTTCGTCCAAGCATCAGAACCCCTGATCCTGGGGTCATGAAATTCAGGGTTTGAAAAGAGACACCCTTACTTATTATAACTTTGCACATAATTTGTTAGCTGAATACCCAGGAGCAGAGAAGAATATTTTTAGAGAAATGAATGTATTTCACTATTTTTATAATAACACTCCCCCTTTCCAACATAAGAGTCGCTGGTCATGGGGCCACAAATTTCACAATTTTGAAGAGGTACCAGTACCCTCTCTCATTATAACTACATACTTAGTTTGTTTCCTTAACACCCAGGAGGAGAAAAAAAAATAGCCAAAAAAAAAAAAAAAAAAAAAAGACTAATAGTAAATAAACAATGGAGTTCTGTCCTAACACCAGGGCAATGAAATCACAAATTTGGAATAGAAACCCTTGTTCAACATAATCACGTACCTAGTTTATTTTGCTCAATACCCAGGAGCAGAAAGAGGATATTCAAGGAAATAATGCATTTTCACTATATAATCAATATAGCCCTCCCCCCTCACTCCACAAGAAAACCTCTGACCCTGGGGCCATAAATTTCACAAATTTGGTAGAGGCACCATTGCCCATCATTACCATGCACCTAGTTTATCTGTTAAATATACAGGGGGATTAAGATTTTTAAAGAATGTATGCATTTTCACTATAAATCATTAGAATCCCAATCTAACTCCAGAAACCCTGACCCTGGAACCATGAATATCTCAATTTTGGTAGAGGGCTCAGTGCTTATTATAATCATGGCAACAATTCAGTTCCTTGATGTCCAGGAGCAAAGAAGACACACTAATTTTGATGGTTTCAGCCCCATCACCCTTCAAGCCCAGGAGGGAGGGGGCAGGGACCATGGATTTCATAAAATTTGTTCCCCATTACTCAAAGATACTTTATGCCAAAAATGGTTGAAATTGATTTAGCGGTTCCAGAGAGGAAGTGATTATGTTCAAATGTTATAACGGACGACTGACTACGAACCCCCTCCCCCCCCCCCCCCCCCCCAGATAGAATAGGTCACCTGATCAATGACTTAGGTGATCTAAAAAAAATTAAAGGAAGAAGATAGTGTGGCAGACAGACAAACGGATCAGGATAACAACAATATACCCAAACTTTCTTTTTAAATAGAAAGTGCGTGTATAAAAACAATTTGATTTACATGTACTCATTTATTTACGAAAAAAGCACCAAATACTATTCCTTAAAAAATCCGAGTTACCTTGTCGAATTTTAAATGTTACACATTACTTGACAATATATCAAATAATTTCTAAAATAAACATGTATGTACATTTATCACATATAAAAAAATAATAAATTAAAATGGATGGAGGGCATGCATGTAAAATCAACAAAAATTCATGTAATGCTACATGTACACTGTATCTGCAAAATGAAAATATGTTATGAATCATAAAAGAATGAAACAAGTGTTTATTTTTCCAGAACAAAGTAGGTATGATAATTGTCAGGGATTTTTTCTGTCGGTTTCCCAGATTCAGGTGTTATATAATCCCCGTCTGTAACTTCCGTTTCCGGTTTTTCAGGGTTTCGTGCAAGCTTATCATAAGGTTCAGCACTGTTTTCGTCATCAATTGAGACGGCGGACAGCGCATCGTATCCTGCTCTGTCGTTGAGGTTTTCCCTGCTGGCTCTAGGAGTAACATATCCGGCTCTGTCTTCATATACACCGTCAGAGGGCGCTGTAGGCAGTGGCCTACTTCCGGTGCTTCCCCCACTTCCTTCTTCTCTCTCAAACGTGGTTGTGTCATTGCTAACTCTGAAGGATCTCTGCAACTGGATTCATTAGATTTAATAGAAATGTGAATCAAACAAGCATGTTTATATTGGTTTCTACTATTTTATGATGACACTTGGGACATAAGAACTTCTGCTTCCCACGCAAAACAGAAGCTTTTAAATGTTTAAAAAATGGATATTTATCGAACATTTTGTCGTTTCTAAAATAACCTCTCAAGGTTTAGAATATGTGTCACTTATTAACAAATAATAAGTTATCTTAAATGGGTTCTAACACACTTCTTATGAAACTCAAACTGTGCCTTAACCACTTACGTGTTTCTCATCAATTTCTGCGTACACTTCCGAGTTGGTTCTCATGAAATCCTTGTAACGAGCGGATGTGGTCGGAGAACTTTGAAAAGCCACCTTGTCTTGAGTAGGAAGTCTAACAGAAAATCATTGCAAAAATTGACACTAATCACTTAAATTATTACTCTAATACTTAATCCAATAAATATCATTAAAAAATTTTTTTTTCCAAGTTTCCTTTCATTAACGTTCATTTTGTGTGGGTCCAATAGAAGTAATGTTGCATGCTCTAATGATTAAGTACAGATATGTGAAATTATCTTAAAGGTGGATTTATTTTGATTATCATGAAAATTCCTTATACAATACTGAAACCTACCGCGATCTTTTTCTTCGAACAAAGCAGGCTATCGCTACAATAAGAATGATGAAAAATAATCCACCAATGGCAGCCCCGATCACAGCAGACGTCGGTAAAGAGGTCTCAGATCCGGAAGAAGCCATCTGCCCTTGTCCGCCAGCGCCAGGGACGTGTGGGGCGGAAGGTGTTGTCCCGACTACTAGAACGAGACAGAAACAAAAATAGGACATTCGTACTGATAAAAATAAAATTGGCAAATCAAGGTGAAAGTAATGCTTCGCATTTTTTTTTTTGCGATAAAATAAGCCACTAGGTAAAGGTATCTAACTCCACTCTGTTAACAAAATTTAAGAAAATGTTGTGCTCATGTGTGAATTCATGTTTCAAGTTAAAACACAATCATGGCATTTTTCTTATCTGAACTAGGCCATTTCCGAGTAGCTTCCTGAATAGACGTGAATAAAGGAAATTACAATGGCAATAATTTGAGCTATGTTCAAACGAACAATTTAAAAATACATTTAAGGTAGTCCGATCCTCAGGTTCTGAAAATCAGCTTTTTAGTAATTGAAAATGCTCTCAAAAATATCTCTGATTTCACACAGTAACGTGAATTTACCCATGGTATTTCATCAAAGTTCATCATTACAGTTAATCATATTGAATAGGGAAAATTGTCTAATCTCAAATATATTTTCAGGAAATGCGAATAAAAACACCAGCTAGGCATTTTCAAATTAAAAATTGATTATAAAATATAATTTAGGATAAAAAAATATAGGTATCCAGGCATTTGGAGAAAATTGCGTCTTTTTTATATGCTTATACAATATTTTGGTTCTCTTTACTTTTTAAATAAAATGATAAATTTAAGAGTTATCTTTCCTGGCTGAGGATCGGATATCCTTAATGATACTTTCACTGGAGACTGTTTGACTGTTTTGTACGGAAGTTATTATCCCTACGTAATTTGTTTCAATTTCAATACATAAGTGTAAAAGTACAATTGAAAAGACAAGAATTTCAATCGAGCAATAAGCCAAAACTAACAACAACAAAATTGAAAACATTGAATTTTCCTCAAAATGATCGATCCAAACAAGTGTTTTAGAAAAATTAACTCTATGCATATGACGGATAAAAAAAAGCAAGACTAATTACTCGAATTTCCAGGGCAATGTTGTTTGTAGAATTTTTGGACCATAAGCAGCTCTTCATTTAGGTCTTTGTTGACAATTTCTGCCGCACTTTTGCACTGGTCTTTTGCCAATACCCTCGCCATACACACCAAGGATTGGTCAATTTGTCTGAAATAATGTCAAATTGTGCTTACAAAAACCGTGCAAAATCTTCATAATTCTCGTACATCTATCACTTATATTTTTCGATATATAACTGTGCATTCTGAAGAAGACACAAGCACTTTATATGTAACAACAAATGCTAACTGAATTTTTTTTCTTTCTAAAATTCAATAAATTAAGGGAAAAAAACCAAGATTCTATTTCTTGACTGTAAAATTTAATTTCATTGCAACAAACAAATTTGGAATTGGAAAAAAGTCATTTAAAGTTGTTACATCTCTTTCTTTTTCCATATGTCTGTTTTATTCTATTGACATTAACCAGCATTAAATCATCAAGTTTGTGAAAAAGAAATAAACTTTAAGGACAAGTTATTTTTCCTTACCCACAAGCCTCCGGAACATTTCCGACAGCGGGGCCCACATTTGGGGTCCCAGCCTCTGTAACCTCATCTATATCTTCCGGTAAATTCTCGAAACATTTGGCAGATTTTAGACAGCACTTGTAACCTCCCGGGGAATTTCGAAAATCTACAAAATAAACCAACACAATCAGTATAATTTTTTTTATGAATGCGGGAAAAATCATTTACCAGTATTTATGAACTGAATAGTGGACACAACTAATCCTTCGACACTGTTATCCTATTTTGTACATTGATCACTATAATATAACAATTGGTGTGCATACATCCATATTACTTATTCCACAAAGCAATAGAAGTCATTTTTTGTGACAAACACGCTTACCACCGAAGTCGTCTTTTTCACAGAGTTCTTCAACTAACATTGTTTAGAATTTTTTTTACATTGCCTCCACGGAAAATGACTTAAAAATGAACTCATCTCTGATGTAAAAACTCCGTGAAAAGCTCAAGGATATCATTTTAGTTACCTTTATAAATGAGTTTTTAGTTAATTGTAGACAAAAGGTGACAGGAGCTTTTGGGGCTTGTAGACAGATGCAAAATGTTTATTTCATTGTCAAGATTAATTATATGTTATATTCATTTCATAAACATCTATAAAAAAAAATAATGCACATCTCTCTCTCTCTCTTTCTTTCTCTCTTTCTCTCTCTCTCTGCGTGACTTTTGACTGTACACATCTACACATCAACCAAATATTTGCCCCTAAGCGATATGAACTTCCTTTTCTTGACGTATCACTCCTCATTTCATGGCGGCACACTAGCAATCAAAAACAGCTTTCTGTGTACAGTTAAGGACTGGCTTTGGTCAGTTTACCACGTATGAATCACAAACGTATTGGTACATATACACGAATATTGAAACATAATGAAATTGACCGTTTTCGTATCATTAAGAACAAAAAAATTTTTTTCATCGTAAGTCCTTATTAATGCCGCCATTTATTTTCTTTGTTGACAATATATTGTCATTATTTTTTTTAAACTTAGATTGAACATTAATAAAGACTAGACTGTTCTTAAAAACATTCTTCCAAGTCAAGACCAAAATCTGATTTTAAAAAATCCAATGAATGAATCGTCACAGTCATCACGCGAGGGATAACTTCTTTTTCACATCTAATGTATTTCCTATTCAGAATTGAGGACTCAAGGATGAATTAAGAAATGGAGGCTGACTTACAGCGATAAACCCCGCTCCATTGTCTACAGATCCACACTTTGTAAGATCGCAGCCGTCTAGCACTGAGCTGAATATTGGAGGTAGCGTTCAGCATGGTTATATTTAGTAAATGTCAAAGATTTCAGATTATTTTGTTTGTTTGATCTCCCATGACTCATTCAGGTAATTCAGAGATGGCCACAAAAAACGCGACTCGGCTGTGGTGGACAGGTTAGAGGAAAATGTCGACGTCATTAGATTACGCGTGAATAAGAATAGGGTTCTTGTGATGTATCAATTTCCTATGTCATTTACAATTTTCCATTATTTCTTGGTGTATGAACAATTTGACAAAATGATTTTTTTCAAAAGTAACAATAAAAAAAAATATATACATATAAAAAAAATAGTATGCTTTATAGTAAATGGTTTTGCGCGGGATTAGGCCTATTCTTTTACTGCTGTCAAAGTTAATTTGCTTGTAGTTGGACTGTAATTTATGACGATAATTTTTTTTCTTTTGGAATAAATCTTTCACTGTTTTATGTCTTGTCAAAATAAAATAAATGAGTCCTGTTAAATCTGTTGCAAGAAATGTTGTCTTAACATCTGATATAAATGAAATGCATGTTCCTGATCCTTTTAGATTTTTATCAAATAAATTTCAGACCTTAAACTTCAAACAAGGGAAATTAACATTTATTGTCTAGACAGAAACAGTCTATGTATCAACTCTGGCCAAATAAAAAAAGGAGAAAAAATATAGTTGCCAATTTCATATGCGAACAGGCAGTTCCAGATATCAAACTCCCTCATCCTTTACCTTGTGCACTTTCGTCTCCACAATCAAGCTTACTCCTTTTTCCGGATAAATATCCCGATCCCGACCCAGTTAAAGGAAGAGATTTTGGTCCCAGACCTCTGGCTTTCTCCGTTTTGTCTGAATTGGGATCCCCTTTTGTTCTGCCCAGGGTTTGATTTCCTGGTGATGGTGCATCGTTCTGTGGTATTAGGTTGTTTTGATTCGTATCCGTTTTTGGAGTGCCAACCTTTTCGGTTGTGTTTTCCTGTATTTTTACTTTCTCTCCAGACTGGTCAAATACGCGGGGACCCAGTACTCTTATCTTTTCTCTGGCCTCTGCCGGGACGTGGTTTCTCTGCGAAGCTCCTGGAATGAGATTGGAGTTCCGCAGGTCCCCCTGTTTACCAGGAACAGTCCTTGGAAACTTTTGTCTTCCATCTTTAAACGGTCCAAATTTTAAATTATTCCTGGTTTGCATTAGTTTTTTGTTCATCGGCAAGTCCACTGTCTTTTGTCTAAATATATCCTCTTGAACCTTTAATCCATCTTTAAACCTATGCATTGCTACGTATACATGTAACACGAAACGTAACTCCCTAAAGTCACAATACGTAAGATGTTCACTTTTTCAGAATAAGCAAGGTTTCACTGAACAATAATGTTTCGGCTTGAACACAGAGGAATACCGACAAGTAGCAACTGATGATGTCACTTGTACCTCGTTTATCAAATCCTGTCAAAATTCTGTCTGCATGACCAACACTCTTACCCTCAGCGTCACGATAACCAGCAATTATACTTAAACTCTCACCCTCACAAAAATTAACCTCAAAAACGCAACGTTCGCAATTAGATTTTTTTTTCTTTTTTTTACATTTTACTTTGATTCACAGGTTTCGAAGAAAGATGGTAAACATGTTTGATCATGTTTTGTTCCTTAGCATAGTTTGTTAGCCGTGTACAACATATGCCTTTGGGACATACGGTGTTATAACAGATTTGTAAAGTAATCCGTAAGATCTACTTGTAGATGTAGATATAGCACCGATTTTTTGATCAGCAAACAACATAATGATTTTTATTTTTTATACGCTATTCTAAATATATATATATATATATATATATATATATATATATATATATATATATATATATATATATATATATATATATATATATATATATATTATTCGCAGCTGATATGCGTCATTCATAAATAAGGAACCAGCATTATTTCATTTCGCAAATCTTTTTTTTATTCATACTTTTTTAAAATTGTTCTTCGAAGTTTTTTGTCTTTCTTTATTTTAACGAATCATTCATTTTCGTGTTAATCTGTTACTACATTGCTAGTCTAACAGTGAATGTAGGGCAAAGTAATCGTTGCCAAGGAATATACATGAAGTGTCATTGAATTTTGATGTGTGCAGATAATTAATAGCCAAACACAACAAACACACAAAATGCATAGTTTTATTTGTCAAAATATACCATGTTTGTATTTCAGTACTGACGATTTCTTGATTTATATACTAATTATAAGAATATGTAATATATAATATTTATTATTTACAAGGGAAGTTTCCTTTCTTTGGTTTTTTTTATTTGTTTTGTTTTTGTTTTTTATTTGTTTTTTTTTTTGTATGTTAGTTTGTTTTGTTTTGTTTTGTTTTGTTTTGTTTTTTTTTTTTTGGGGGGGGGGAGGGGGGGAGTACTTGTTTAATGCAGACTAGGAGTCTATTTGGGAGTACTGAATGTAATAAGTTTATAAACATCGTTCTACTTGTCTACGCCTATGAAAATAAAAAAAGGTAATTGTCGGTAATAATATTGCCTGTGGTGATTTATTACAATATTACTTTTAAGAATCTTGTAAGTTTTTGCAATGGATATGTGAATCGAGTAGCCCTAAGCGATATTAGTCTACATTATAAATAAATACAGCTTAAGTAGTTAATCATGTCATTTCCCATCTAAACAAACAGCAAATTATATCATTAATATCGAACATGGCGATGAGAGAAAGATAATGCAGTTACTACGAGAATTTATGGTACAACTTTTTATATGTAATCTAAGAATCCCAGCTAGAGATTCGGAAGTTTTACAATGTTGTTATAAAATACTTTGAAGAAAAAAGTGTTTTTCGACATGCAGTTTACCTTGATAGAAATCTAATTAATATATTAAAACTGTGCTATTTTTTTTTAAGTTTTTTTTTTCAAATTTACTTTTCTGCATTAAAATTAATGCAAGTTATCCGATCAGTTATTCTCACATTATATATCGACCACTGAACTGTCATTCCATAGGCGAATTCATTTTGAAGTTCAATTTATGCTGTATACTTCATGTTTCATGTTTATTTATAGTAGTGATAATCCGTAAATCATTCAAATCATTTTGCAAAATATTACTAAAACGGTTTTCAGATAAAGTACTTTTTAGACAAGCCCGTGATTACAGTTTGATATGGACAGAGTAATACCCTGCTATTGCAATTACTCACCTTCTATAGGACATTTCAATCTTCTCGCCTGTCTCCGTAACCACTTCCTTCTTCTCCTTTCCGCTGCCTTATCCACTACATTAATGACAATATTGATTTGAGTTGAGTCTGTGATGTTCTGGTTTGTAATATTTTTCAGATTTAAATTTATTTTGTCCTGTATATCTTTTGTTAAGTCTATTTGAGTTGGGGACGGGGTACTCGGTTTCAACATACCCTCTTGTCCGGTATCAACCCTCGAGGGGGTTGATGGAGAGACAGAGGAGTCCTGGAATCCATTGGTGGTTACAGACGGATTTTTTGTTGTGGAGACACTTGGAGTTGTAGGAAATTTGGTTGTACTAACATCTTCTTGAGGCGTCGTAGTGGTAGATGAGGAGGAACTCTTTGGGGATTTTGTTGTGAGTAAAATCAGAGGCGGACCTTTGTCCAACCAGCTACCGGGGGACTTTGTTGTAACAGACTCTGTGGAAGTGTCCCCATTATTTCCCTTGTCCGGCGATGGTACTGAGGGAGCAGTTGTTATAATATTTCCAGCCAAATCGAAAATTGGTTTCTTTGGTGCCTCGGTCACAATGTCACTTTTTACTCCATCATTCTGCATATTGGAATCATGGACAGAATTATCACTATTTTTATTTCTCTTCCTTTTGATTTTTTTCTTTTCTTTCCGCTCAGCCTTTTGAAATTTCTTTTTGCGTCGGCTGAACTGAGCGTTTTTGAAATCGGCCTCAGTTTCAACGTAGCCGATAACTGGCGCCAAAGAGGCCTTTGTCCGTTCTAGAAAGAGTGAGGGTGTCGAGGGCCGAGAGGATGAAGTGACCTCATCAGCGTCCATTAACAAAGACGTCAAGTCCAGCAAATTATTGTCCATTTTCCCCTCCAGCAAATGTTCTCACAATTATGATAAATGCGCGCACGCACCTGTTCAGACAAAAACAATACCAACAAACACTCTGGAAGCACTTTGTCTAATTTCACGTAAAGTTTGATCAATTCATCTTGTTGACACCTTTATAGAACTGACTTTCCTCCCACAAATATTCCTCTCAGTCTCCGTCCTATATTTTTGGGATGACTCTTTAAGTGAGATGGTGTCTATGAATTAGCGTAGTGATAACATCTGATCTATGATTGCCGCAATGATAACTCATTGCATATCGTGACGACATTACCGAAGTTTGATGGATGACCAAGGACACGCATCGCTGACCAGTGAATTTCTTCGTGCAAGATTTCTAAGGGTTTTTTTCTATTCAAGTGGCGACTGTCAGTTTTCGCTTCGCATCAACGGGCGTACTTCTCAGACATCGCACCGTGGAAATGACGTAAGAATTTGACACCAAAACATAAATATTTACACAGTAAAGTACTACATTGCGGGGGAGATTAAAATTTATAACGCAATCATAACACAATAAATTTCTGAAATTTTTTCAAGCACAAACATATTTACAACTTTGGAAACTCCCATGTACATGTAATTCATGCATATGATTATTATGATATTATACTTGCAATGTCATGTAATATTAACTTCTATGTGCATTGTGCTAAGATTTATTTTGGTTCTTATAAGAATCCATTCAGTAGTCAATTTTACAGCTACATCAGATTAAACAAGTACAATTTTTTTTTTCATATTTGCATTTGCATAGTCCTGATATAAATATCTATATATTATATCTTTTTTTAATTTCTTAAAAACATTATAACTAGACATTTTCTTATCCTTTTTTCTTGGTCTAAATAAAAAGAAAAGTGTAATGGATATACCTTTTCCATCCTAAGGTCTATATTGCAGATTTTTATATTAAGAAAAAAGGACATATATGTCATGTAGGACGCTAACCCAATCATTTCTTTGAGGTTCATATTTTTGTAATGTAGGGGCGCGTTCTGTGTCCTTACCACAGGCACTTGTTTCGGTAATAAATTTTAACCCATAGTATAATAATTATTATACTATGGGTTAAAAAATTATTACCGAAACAAGTGCCTGTGGTCCTTACCCTTTGTGACCCTCTCCTTCCCAAACATGATGATGTTTCTGATTAGACTGCAGCCCTATATTTCTTCTGTGCAGCAAGACGGCCAGTTGTTATTTGTTACGTACAATAAGTGATCTTCGCTTAATTTCAGACTTTGTTTGCAAAGTTCATTTTTCACTGGGAAGATTCGCTTGTGCTAGTGATTTGGAGAATTCATGATAGTACGTGGTACCTTGTGCTGTATTTTATGTGGGTGGTTAAAGGATGATTGTCTTTATATGCCGATTGAAAATGGTGGGAATTGAAATTGTTGTTCTAACTGAACTATTTTTTCTAGTTCCTTATGCAAAAAGTGGTAACCTTTTATCCTTTTAGAATCTTGTACGATTCTTATTAGCTTTTCAGCGGAAAGGCGTATAATTTATTACAAAAAGTTATATTGTACATGTTGCATAATTACTAAATAACTGAACAAGTGGAAATTGACTAGCATGTTATTCATCTGACTACACCTATCGGGTCAATGGATCCCAAAAAAATAATTTTAAAATTACCAGGGTCTTAACTTAGAATTGCATTCGTTTTGATACAGTTGTATACCGGGGTATCTCTTGCTCAAGGCGAAGTTGAGAGAGTTACTAAATTATAATGTTTTTTTTTTTTTTTAAGAAAAAAATTTCTTGATAAACCTCGAAGAAAAAAATACATTAACTTTTTCACTTCATTGGTTGGTCAGCAGTTTGTACATCATAAGCATGATATTTAACAACCTACAAATACAAGTAACAAAAATCCACTGGAAATTAATTTTTCTGAAATCATGTGCGCAGAAAAGTTAGAGTTTTTATCTTCACTTTGGAATCGAAGTACACCCTGATTAGACCATAAAATGTGTCTATAACTAGACACATTGTACAGATGTATATGTAGATTTATAATTTCTATAATGGTCATTATATTCCTGTGATGAAACATCGTAAAAATGAAAGCACATGGCCGTAGGAACCGGTGGATGGGGGGGGGGGGTAATTTTGCCGATTTGTATGTATACATGTATATAGTATTTAGGTAAAAAGCTCCTTTATGGATGTGCCCCTCAGTAATTACGTCTAATAACTTCTTTTTTTTCCCTTTTTTTTTTTGTTTCAGGGAATTTATGTTTCGTAGTGCCCACCCAACTGAAAATAGTGCCCACTCAAACTGAAAAAGTTTGGTTGTGCCCAAAACTGAAATTGCTTCCTACAAGCCTATAGAATTCTGAAATGGAGCATATCCAGATAGTTATTCATTTTTTATGATCAGACATAAAAAAGAAAACTTTACAAATTATATAATTTCCTTATTTCCTATTATTGCATTTCACAGTGCATGTTCACTAACGCAATGTAATATTTTGCGGAAATAAATGCATTTATAATCTAATTATGAAAATTGTAATTATACTTAACGGCGTTATAGAGACACTTTTATTTGCTTCCTTGAAGCAATCATCCTTTTTTTTCCACAATGAAATGTGATTAAAATCAAGAATAGATCGACAAGATGTGAAGTAACGAAACAAAAATATCATGGAATGGTAAGGTTCATGAGAAACGTTGTTATGCTTTAAAGACGGTGCCGATTCTTTGCAACTTCATCCATTAGCCTTGCAAAACTGTGATACGTGGGGTCTTCATTTTTATAACACCATTAAGACAGAGATATGATTACCCCATAGTGGTGTTGCATCATTTACTTATCAAATGAAAAGTTGTGAAGATAGAACAAGCAAAGGAACGTTTTTTTATGATGGTGAGCAATTGTAAACAAATTGTCTGACATGTTAGGATCAGAGCATCCACAAAGACAATAGTTAAAAGTCTTCTATTAACAAAGATCGGTATTATCTGTTATTGAAACGTTCACCTGAATGTTAACTGTTAACAAGCTCTAAGATCATATTTCGAAGATTTGTGGCCTTTGTAATTATGTTTATTGAGAAATGTAATTGAGATCCAAGGTAAACACGAGTTTAATTATTAAACAGTAGTTTAATGGAACAGTTACTACAGTACCGAAATTACGTTACTTCCAGCAATTATGTAAAAAAAATTCAAATTATATAAGAATGCCTTGTGATAATTATCATTCAACAGGAATAAAGTTCAATCCAATTTCATGAATTTAAAGCATTTTACCTTTTTATTTTTTATTTTTTTTTTATCAAGAACTAGATAAAGAATTGTTGAGACTTTATCTTATCAATACAGTTTCAAACGGTGGTAACGGCAGAAATCGTGTGTCAACACGATAACTGATTTATTTGGAAGGTGAAATCGCATTACTTAGCCCACCCTGTGTAAAATTTCTACTGTTAACCGTGCCAGTTGCATAACATTAATGCCAAACTTATTTTCAAAGTCTGTTAACGATTCATTAATTGAGGTGCTGAAACTCCCACCTACAGCTCCGTAATGATCGATGTTGTATATATCTTTATATTCTTATTTTTGTGCTAATGCGTCACCGTCAGATATAGTTTGTATAAAAATTTCATTCCAAATTACACATTAGAATCACATTAGCTTAGATCTTTGTCAAGTCGTTTGCTATTTTCGTCTTTGTTGAAAAACATCGCAAGACTTTCTTAATTTTGAATGGAAAATTCTGATACAAAATAGACAATTTGACTGTTACTGTATAATGTTTACAAGCATTCCTATTAGTAAAAAATGCAACATTGACGAATGGAATTTGTTATTCAAATTTGTGTGAATGCAATCTTTAATAATTTTATTATCAGATCTTTTTTCTTCGCTAGGACAAGAGGCGTACAGGCCACATTGCTCACCTGTATAGGGTTTGTCCCACTATTCTTCATTACGTTTTCTTTTCGAACTTCATTCACATGAAAGTTTTTACAGCATATTATATAAAATTAGATCCAATGTTACCCCAATGTCAATAATTAAAAGAAAACTTTAATCCACACAGATTTGGAATGTTTTGCCCTGCTACTCTAGAAAAGATTTTTTTTACATTGATTTCTTTTACTTTCCTTCGCAAAACTTTCATTCCCTTTTTTCCGTCACACCCTATCTTCAGGGGCAATAATTGGAACAAACTTTAAGTGCTATTCTTTTTGGCCCAGTGGTTCTTGCGGAGAAGATTTCTAAATGATGCTATCAAATTTTCACAGTGTCTTTACAATCCTCTCTTGAAAGTGAGCGTGGCCTTTCAACTGACTAAACTTAAAGCCCCTTCATCAAAAGATGCTCTGTGGCAAGTTTGGTTGAAAATGTCCAAGTGGTTTTGGAAAAGAAGATTAAAATGTGAAAAGTTTGCAAAAAACTCGGCTTATGACGACAACGACAGATAACGGAGAAAATTTGACCAGAAAAGTTCACTGAAGTCTTCGGCTCAGGTAGGCTAAAACGTTTTGTCCTATATTTTTCAGTTTACATGATAAAAGAATAAGGAAATTATTCCTGTATAGCTAAATTATGTAATATTTTAAGTGAAAAACAGATTGCTTCATTGCAGTGGAGAATATATTAACTCCTCCTCGTACACAGCAGCCTTTTCTTGTGCTTAAAATGAAAGTTTCATTTCAAACAAAACAAGTAAGATTGATCGAAAGCATCAAATTGGCCGCAAACAAAATCAAGCATTTAATAAAAATTACTTTCACAAGTAGGCGTCCAAGGAAGGTGCAAGATTTTCTAAGTTGAAAGAGTGAACATTTTTATTTCATACTGTCTACTGTCTTAAAAGCAAGAAAGTTAAATTAAATATTTTTTTTTTAAATGTTTAAATTGAAAGATAAATAGACATGGTACATATTTTCAGTACATTTGTTAATCAAATTGCTTCATCGATAGTCAGGGGTAAATGATGGTATTGTTTCGAAGATATTGATATTCAGATCTCCAGATGACAAAAAAGATAAACCTTCCACGTGCTGATACTCTGGTATTTTTCACGTGTTAATGCCGATGATTTCTACAGACTAATGCACGGGCTATGATATACAACACAATAAATGCAAAGTGCAGAAAAAATATATATCATTGTGTCAATAGATCGCAGCAGTAACATGATCAAAACAATTTTTACTAGTTCCATCAACTGTTCAATTTTTATTCACCTCTGTAATTATTATCCAGAAAATTCCACTGTTTGCGTTCATATATAACAAACTCCTATGTTGGAGAGTACTTATTGTAAACCCTTTTTTATAAATCATTAATTAATAATTATCGGATGAGAAATAAAAATAAAATTTAAACACAGTTATAACAATTAAACATGGTTTAAAGCAAGTTTATAAAACATTAATCTCTTAATTTTATATGTTATGAATAACAAATTATTTTACCAAAGTGCATTTCTGACACAATCACAAATACATTGTCATGTAGATCGGCTGCTCTTGCGGCCGATAGTTTAGAATCCTGCGGCCGATGATAAAGAAACATGGTAAAACATGATAGTACAGAAAAGTATAATTAATTAAAATTGTTTGAATTAATTACAAGATCAGAAGTGAATGGAAAACTGCCTTTTTTGTGCCTCTACTATATATACACTGTATAAGAACACTGGAAAAGAACATTTTTTGTTCTCATGGCGTCGTTGCTAATTAATGCCTATGGGGCAAAATATTTACTCAACATGACGGTACATTAAACTATTTTGTTGTCTGCTGGAACAAAGTTTCCAGAATCAAATGATTTTATTATGTATTTCTATGAACAGTTAAATTTTTAATTACTATTAATACGGATAACTAATTCTGAAAAAAAAAAAAAAAATAAATAAATAAATAAATAAATAAAAAAGTCAAATAGTTACATGTACATATATTTGCTTTTCCAGGCATTGACGGACTTTCTTTGAATTATGTTTCATCTCCAAGTTTCCATCATTCTGGTTTTTTTTTTTAATTTGTTTAACTCTGTGGTTACCGTCAAGTAACGAAATTTAATTCCTAACACATTTACATGGAAGCAATGAATAAACAAACAACAATTTATTTCAAAAAGCAGATTACGAAAAGCAAGAACAATTGTAGAAGTTAAAATCCATAAAAATTCAACTCAGAGAGCATACAATAAAATATGAAAAAAATATAAAGTCAGAAAATAATACGACAATTCATTAAATTAAAATTATTGAGTTTCCTTTTACTATCCATACACAATTCCCTCGGACAGTGAATTGATCCAATGTAAGGTTTCCTTAAAGTGTTGTCTCCGAATAGCCCCGCGGCTGTGAGTACAGCGATAAAACATCTTTCTCAATCCGAGGCGGAAACGAGATCCAGTTATGAGGTAAACGAAAAAGGTAGCACATTTATTTGTGTACAACATGTAGAAAGTTATGGAAAACAACATCTCAGAGTGTCCAAAATCGGCTGTAGAAATGGCCAGCTGCATACTGAAAGGGAACGTTAAAAGGAGGATAAGAATGGATTCCCCAATCAGCATGGGAGTAACTGTTTGCCACTGCCTAAATTCCCCTGACCCGTTGCTCTTTTCGCTACAGAAACACGAATTCCTATGTTTCAATGGCGATGGCACTTCTTCAGACACAATCAGGCTTTCTTTTCTGTTGGAACAATGATGACGTCGAATTTCCAAGTGTGATGAAGCATAGAGTTGACGTACCAGAACTCCATTGGAAGCAGCGATGACGAGAAAGCATAAAACTAAGAAACTCACATGTAGCCAAGGCCAGACATTTTCCCAGAATATTTTGTAAATTTCAGACTCCGGAAAAACATCGCACAGCTTATCCCTCATGTGTCCAGATTTGACAATTTTTGATGAGAATGCAAAGTGAATATTTTTCACAAGGACAATGAGTAGAAGAAAAAGAATAATAAACTTTGGTCTTCTGTGAGAATACTTTGATGCCCTGCTCTTTAACGGGAGATAAACTGCAATTGCACGATTTACGGACATTGTAGTGGAAAGGAGAATGCTGAAATCACAGTTTCCCCATCCATACACTTGGAGGAATTTACATATATCCGTCATTTTGTCTCTGTCATATATATTTTCAAAAGACACATAAAGCCAATGTGTTGTCATAGAAATACTAAGACTGAGCGCATCATTTAGTGCCAGTGCCGTCATGTACACGGAAATGTTCTGACATTGGAAAAATCGCGTGCGCATGACACAAACAATAAAACTGTTGCATATTAATCCAACCACGATTAAAATCGGAGGATAAATAGTGTTCAGAATCACAAAAGGTGTCCCTGATAGATCCCTCTCCAGGTAGCTCATGTTCAAAGTTCTGTTGTTAGTCATTTTTCCAATTCTAATCGATTCATTGAAATCATTCTTCGTAGAATACAACACCTCCTGCAAAAATAAAACAAGAATAAGTTAAAGGCATAATAAATGCTCTAACAAATTTTAAAACGTTGCCGCACCATTGTAAGCACATGCTCCAATGACGGTTTTAACTGATCATGAAATGCAGGGTAAACAGCGCGGAGAGGAAAAATCCCCCACATCGTTCAAGGAATAAGACGTGGAATCGAACGTGATTGTGAACATTTTGTTTATAAAGGTGTTTCTTTATAACCACAGCAGTTCTTTAATTTATTTCAAGACCGTTCTTTGATCGCAGTCTCGTGAGCGTAATTAGTAAGGAAATATACGCTTTTATTGTAAACATCTCGTTATGTCTGTTCCAAAAAAGCAGAGGAAATTAAAGGGGATGGGCAGATCAATTAGTGGAAATCTATAAATTCTCATCCATAAAGTCTGAAATTGTAAATATGAGATATAAGAAAGGTTCCAGCTAATGACTGGATATCGTCAATTCACAGTATATTTCCATTTGCCTTTTTTCTTTTTCTTTCTTTCTTTTTTTTCTTTTTGTTTTATAATCATGGAAACTTTTTAAAACTTATAATAGACTTATTTGCATAACAAATAAATAATTGACTATGAAAAATGTCTATATGGTAAGCACTTGTCATGAAAAACTTTCCTAAGATAACAGTTACAATTTATGATTGTATGCGAAAAAACCCTGAAATGTGTTTATATTTCGGGTGACTATATTTTTGCGCATTGAGCATACGCTATTGTTCGCATTTTAAACCTTAAAACAATAAATAAATTTTTGAAAAGTTGCTTTACCGATTATTCATAAATGTTTTATTTTCGCTTGAAAACAACTTCGTGGAACTTCAAGTAAAAAAAGTAATTGCAATTGCGAATAAAATATTTCATTGATTTAAGAAGATTTTTAACATAGGGTACATATATCTTCCTTATTTCTCCAGGAAAACAGAAATATTCATATTAGACAATATCAATGAAGTATTACATGTAGTTAATAAAATAATCTGTTCTTCACAGATTCATGCAAGTAAGGTTTTCAATAATTTGATCTTGGTCTAATGTAATGTTAAGAATACTTATACATGTACATGTATTTATGTAAGATTGTGTCATTTACTGTTGATTTCCGTTTATTTAGTCCAAAGGGCAGAGCACTCTATCTGCATAAATCTATCTTAAAATTAGAACTCTTTAGTGAACAGTGTTTTAGAGATTCCTTAAAAGACTTATTGCATGCTCTTAAAAAATCGTTATTTTGTGAAAAATATTATCATGTTTATTAAAATACTGAACAAAATAAACGTTGTTGCAAGCATATATTTTAAGCGATATTGAGAGTTGACATTCAAATAACGGCGATATATATATTTCAATCGGATTTTGGCGCCATATGCATACTGCTTTGACGTCATATGCGACAATTCAATAATCTGCACACTGTTAACGAAATTACAAGTACCAACGACAAATGCAGCATAAAATAGGAAAAATATTGAGAAATCAATTCTTTACTTGTTGTTCAATTACTATAAAATTTGAACTAGGCATTATTATTGAATAAAAGATGAAGTTATAGGTATAAATGCACTAAATATATAAAAACGTCGCGTAAGAAGTTTCATGAAGAATAGTGTAATTTATATATTCACTTTCCGTTATGTCTCGTTCATGTTCTGATTTTTCATTGATATTTTGGCACTGAATGTAAATTATTTAATTTATGATCAAGATGATGAACGAAAGAAAAGTTTATTTTTTTTTCCAAAAGGAAAATAATATTCATGGATTTTTCATATTTCTGTCATAAATCGACATCTGGATTTCATCAAAATAATACAATTTTAATGACAATGCAAACGCATCAACGGCGAAGACGTGAGGAGAAAATGCTTTGCATTTTAGATTCAGTCATTTAATATACCTCATGCATGTCAACATCAAGAATGTTTTAGATGAGGAAGACTTTTAGCTTAAGCCTACATGTATGTTCTTTAACTAATTATTCATAATTACTTTTTAACTACGGCATTGACTTGGTTCATACTTGAAAACTTGATTTTGATCTACGTAAGAATTAAGATTACATGCATGTACGAATCTAAAGACCTCTATTAAAGACGAAAATTAGCTAACTTCGTGTAACTAAGACAGCTAAAATAAAATTTTAAAAAGTTTTTGTTTTGCAGGTTTTAAGAAAGCTTTACTAGTAGTCTTTGAGAGAATTAGAAGCACAGACATGTATTTATGCAATTTTCTGTGATTTTCTTAACCTTTTTTCGTATTTAATAAAGTCAAGATAAAAAGGAGAAAATTTGTATCTTTCATATATTTCTGCTACGTATTTTTTTTCTGGTAGTCAGGGAAAAAATCATTTTCACTTCCAATAAATTTGCTCCAACTCGTTTATTACAATTTAAGTGTTTTAGGTGTCAACATTGAACATGTAAATCAACACAATCAAATTGATGCAAAATTTAATTACGAATTGAAATTGCTAGAATTGTACAGGTTTTGCTAAATCATAAGGAGAGAGAGAGAGAGAGAGAGAGAGAGAGAGAGAGAGAGGAGCAGTTATTCTCATTGCGAAGGGAAATGTTAATGTCAATGTACATGTAAACAAAATAATAATAATAATAATAATAATAATTTAAAATCAATTCACTTTAAATGCAATAAGCTTCAGCTTTTGATAAATTGAAAAAAAAAAAATTGAGGGAATTTGATCTGGAGATGGTAACCAAATTACGATTATATTATGTACCTTCTATATAAAGCTTATTTCTGTTTGAAAATAGTCTATTTTTTCTGAATATAAATTTAATACAAATGTTATAAACACATGTATAAAAATCTTTTAAAAAGTGTACTTTTACACAGTCAGGTACTGTATAGGGGGAAAATAACTCGCGGTGTTAATATTCGCTATATTCACGGTGTTAATAATTCCGTGAATTCAAGAAACAGTGAATAAGTTTTCAATAATCTCCATGTTTTATTTGGAAATTTGGGAATAGACTACGATAGGTATATTTACGTGCAGTACTTGGTCATTTCAGTAATTACGAGTAGTGCTTGTCTTTCAATTATTTTAATTATCACGCTTTCCTTTCATTCAAATCAGCAGATAATAACAAGTATTTGTTAAAAAGCTGTTTTAATAGCCAACGCTACATGTTTCTTCAATCCAAACATGTGGGTCATGGGTTTTGATTACCCGTGCATAACTTATGTTACCCCGTGTATTTGTTTCCAGCATTATTATGCGTATTAGTTTTTATCGACATTTTGGTTTTAAAAAATCATTCAAATAACATCGAACTTGCTGAAGATGTGGAAGGATATTACATTAACACATTTATTACCGTCCAGTGGTTTTTCGCCGCGATGTATTATCCCTTAAAAAGAAAATCTTGGGGTGTACATGCACTCATCGTAATAGCATATAGGAAAGTCATTGGACGTTTATAGTCAAGGACTTTATAAAAAAAAAACAGCACTTGTTTTAATTAATCGTCGGGTAATTATTAAATCTAACTATTTAAACACATGTATAAAAATCTTTTAAAAAGTGTACTTTTACACAGTCAGGTACTAGTAATTTCTAGTATTGATTTTTTTCAGGTAGCCCTTGAAAATAGAAAAGTTTTGTGTTCTTTTGCTGTTATGATTTTAAGAGAATGTCTTTAAATCTTGAAGCTATTCCAGAAATTTGTTTTTGAAGTTTCTGAAGTAGTGCAGGTAAATAGCTTGCATCAACACTGAAGATGAGGTGTTTTTGTGTACATACAATGTACATCTGTTCCGCTCTTTAGCGATGTTATTTAATGTATCTGGACTCTCGATTGTTGATTCCGTCAAAGATCGTGACGGAATATAAAAGTTCTAACTGTAAGATGCAGGTAGTTTGTATATTGGAAAATTTTCATTCTTCCTAAGATAGAGTTTTTTAAAATAAGTAATTAATCTAACAATCCGAGTTGATGTCATTTATCATACGGTTCTTCACACAACCCTGCGATCATCGAACAAAATTGACCAAATATTATCAAAGTCTTTGATATCCGTCTTGTTAAGATTTCTGTAGTATACATTATGCAGGTCATGATTGACGTTCTTATGAAAAACATATGCATGTGATGCTAAGCTGATGTAATGCATTCAACAGACATTTTGCAAAAAAAAAAAAAAATCATATGGCTAATTAGTTTCTTGATTTTAAAGTGTATCTTTAATTGCGTGTGGTAGAAAAAACAGGCGTACAACTGTACATGTATTTCAGATGAACCAGAATATGCCGTTAATTCTGAAATGAAAAAGAATTTCACCATGGATTTTTGATAAAGCACACGAAACAATGATTCTTCTCTCTCTCTCTCTCAGATTAGTATAATTATGTCTTTTGTCTCACTACTGTCATCACGTTTCTTTATCATAAGAATGAAATCTTCGTTTATTTGTTTGTTGTTTAACGTCCCTCTCGAGAATTTTTCACTCATATGGAGACGCCACCACTTGCCGCTGGAGGGCTGCAAATTTTGATCTATATTCAGCTCTCAGGGCCATTGAACAGTGAGGGATCTTTTAAGTGCCAGCACCATCTGCGACACGAGACCTCGGTTTATACGTTCTCATCCGAAGTATTGGTCTCCACGTCCACAGTGGATTCGAATCTGCGACGTAAGAAATCTTTGTAACGAAGACGTTTTAATGCTATAGGACATATCTTTAAAAAATGTAAAAAAGAGACCTTATGTCCACGGTATTAAACATTTCTGTGTCTTACAACATGTAACATTAATTTAAACAAAGAAGTAATTTTAGGAAAGTTATTTTATTTTATTGTTACACAGCATGACCTAATTAGACTTTCAGGCAAAAGTCAGTGATATAAAGTCAAAGACACCGAGTTCCCTTGTTGTGTAGAGTAGAAAGGAAACTAACATAATACTTATTCTAATCAAACAAGAAAAGATGAAGGAATTTAAAGAATGAAATCAACATATGTA